TATATATATATTAATGATTTGCAGGATGCAGGATGATTCACCTGTGTTTTGTTTTTCTTGATCTCTGTTTAGAGTATGCCCAGCTGTTTGCAGCCCTTATAGCCCGAACAGCCAAAGATGTGGATGTACTCATAGACTCGCTGCCCAGTGAGGAGTCCACAGCAGCTCTGCAGGTCAGCACATTCATAAGTATCACCGACTATTTCACATGTATATATATTTCAATGTATTAATTCTATTTTCCTGGACATAAAAAAAAAAAAAAAATTCAAGTAGAGGAGCACTGTTGGTATGTCTAGCTATCAGTCAGCAGAGGGAAGTGTGTTTTGTCTGTGAGCAAACTGTTTATAGTCTATAGTGAAATATGTTAAAGACAACAACAGTCATTCTTGTGTTGATCTCTCTCCCGTAAATAGAAAGATGCATGACATCAAGTGTCACTTTCCTGTGCACTGCTTTCTGCTATTAGATTAGACTAGAATAGATTAAAGAACAGAAAATTGAGACTAGGATGTTTCCCAGCAAGCATATCTGAGTGCAATACACAGTACTGCCAGTGAGCATTTGTAACACAAATATCTTTGAATGACATTAGTGGTACTTGGAAAACTTGCTAACTTTTTGATCTGTTTCCAGAGCATTTTATCAGTAGACAAAAAGCAAAAACATCTCTTTTAATATTTTATGGCCTTCACTCAAGAGAGGAACGATAAACACCACGGCTGGAGTGTGCCGATAACGAGATTATTTTGAGGAACATCCATTAAGTAAATGGTAAAGCTCACTTAAACCAGTTAAAACTGCCAAATTGGTAATGTTTGGAAAACTTAGACTCTGAGTACACAGGGAAGGGGGGGGGTTTCCCTGCATAGAGGAAGTTTTAGTCTGAGCCAAAGGAAAATCACCAGAATTGTTGTTAAATGATTTCTCTAAAAGATTCATGGATCTTGGCAGTATGCACATTTTTGCTGATGACGTGACTAATAATTGTATATATTGCTGGAAAATGAGGTATTTAAGAAACAAAAAACAAACTTTCATTGCTTTTAATCTGCATGGACCAATCTTGCTTAATGTCATTACAAGCTCCAAAGGCCTTTTCTGAGCCGAGTAGGTGCTGCTCTTTCTCAAACAAGTATGATATTTATCTCTAGGTAATGTTATAAGAAAGTAAGCCACCCTTACAGGCAGCTCATGTCATTTCTAGCTTTTTATAAGTCGGAGCAGTAGTCGTCAGTCTTTCTGAAAAACAGCCGAGCAATATTGTATAATCAGTGGTGTTGGTTCTTTGTGCAAGGATACTTCTATCTTCATGCGGACCACAGGGCAGCATTTTTTAGATATTAGTGCTGTCAGATGTCAGTGGAATTTTGTGAATGAGGCTTGCACAGCCCAGAAGTTCTGGTTTCCCTGTAGCTCTCTGAGGGCCGACAATACACGCAACTGGTTTTAGATATAAAGTAAAAAGACATCTGTCATACAAAGCTGTTAGAAATGATCAGCTGTAAGACCACGTCTCAGAAGGCTTTCTGCACACATTGCGAATCATGCATGGAATCTCGTCACAGTCTGATGGCAGCTTTTGAACCGTGAAACAGAACTTGTACAAAGTGATTCTCATCAACTATTTAAGTTGCTCACACACACCACCTGCGTTGTGTGGGGATATTGGGTGTACCAGGTGGGAATTCTTTTATTATTCAGTCAGTTAGTGTGAGATCTGATGCTCCCAAGTTATACAGTCATGATCTGCACACAATTAAAGGAAACCTTCACTCAGTTGTTATCAGTTATTTGACGCTCCACAAAAGGGAAAATAAAAACACCAAAGCTGTTTTCATTAAATCTGACTGTCTGTGACCTCTCATCAGGCGGCCAGTCTGCGGCAGCTGGAGGAGGAGAACCATGAGGCAGCAGCTCGGCTAGAAGAGGTGGTTTACCGCGGCGATATGCTGCTGGAGAAGATCCAGAGTGCACTGGCTGACATTGCCCAATCTCAGCTCCGCACCCGCAACGGGGCACCCAGCCAGCCATCACCGGCTGAATCCTGACCCGAGGAATGCATAATATGATTCTGGACAATTTTCAGTCTTTTCAGCTATTTTTTTTCTTTGCCTTCAGCCACAATAGGCCATCATTGAAACTGCCAAACATGGTGTGTGTTCACATGTCAAATGTGTGAACATGTAGATGCTGAAGTGGTTCTGTGTGGATGAGGTCATCTTTATGTTTTTTGTTTGTTTTTGAAACGTCATTTCTACAGCTCAGCTAAAGAAGGATGAAGGATGGTGTCTTTACATGCACATGGATCTTCTTTCCTGAAATTTTTATTTAAAAAAAAAAAAAAAAACCTTCTCTGTGGGCCTGAGGAGACCAATCTGACAGGTGTTCTGTGATTTATGTACACTATAATGTTATATATATTTATGTCTGATTTTGTAGATATTCAATGAAACCATGATAGCTCATCTCTCTTGAGGTATTTTCTTTTTTAAATAAACCGTGGATAGCCACATAAGTGTTAATAATATCCCCTTTTTTTAATATAGTTTGCAAACTGTTACCACAAGCGTTTTGTACACAAACCATGTGGGTGATGTTAATTGTTGGAGTTTGTTTGTGGCATTGCATCACTTTCATTTTTTTCATTGGAACTGATACACTAGCAGAAACTGACATGACGTACTGCGAGCCTTTACCAGGAAATGATTACAATTAAAGAATGACCACATTTCAGTTCATGTGACCTTTAAAGGAAATTCTGATGGACACAGCTTTGAGGAACTAAGCTGTGGCTCTTGTATATTTCATAATGTGTTTTGACAAAAACAATAGTGAAAGAAATTTTTTTTAAAGGAGGTGAAAAAACCAACTCCATAATCTGGTTCTATCGACGGTTTGAAACGTTTCAGTAAAAGGCATGAAACTTTCCCATTACGGAAAGTTGTGTATATGCATGTGTTATGTTCTAACTCCTAGTCAGTCTGATACATGATATTTAAAAAAAAAAAAAATCTAAAGAGCGAAAATCACTTTTGTCACATTTGCAACTAAAATATTTTCACAAGTCATGCAGTGCAATCTTGATTTTTGCAAAACAAATGCTTTCATATTGGCTGAATCCATTTCAGACGGAACTTTGTGAAACCCAGGCTGCAGGCCAGAGACTTTATAGCCCAAATCTAAATATAGGTGCTGTGTCACAGCTCAGTGGGCCCCATTGATGTGAGAAATATAAAAACAGCCTTGTCTGCTGGCCACCACACCCAGACGTGTTAGCGGGACCCACCCGCCTGTCTGCATGTTGACATCATGGTCCTAACAGTAAAACCACTTAACCCGCCCGAATGAGGAGATTCATGACAGAAAATCTTCACCTGCCCTGGTTTGGTCAACAAAACTTTGTCTGTGCTCAAATTTTGTTATCTGCGTTTTCATTCACATGTGATTAGTGTAGCTTCTCCCTTTAATGTTCTTTGTTTATCCCAAAGGTCTATAGGACAATCTACAAGGAAATGAAAGAGTCCAATAGGGTGAAGACATTTCTAAGCACCACTGATGGGATTATTAAGGAAAAAAGTCAGTTCCTTTTTGAAGGGCTCTACTGTAACGATGTTGGAATGCAGACACATTCATTTCGGTTTCTAGTTTAAACAATGAGCACTTTTAAAACGGTTTGTAGGCAGACAAGCTGTTATCATCTCAAACTGCTATGGCAAAGGTCTCAGATTGTGCCTTAATAGAAAGTGTTATAAATGTGGACTGTGTGACTTTTATCTTATCATACTTTATTGCGTTCTATCTGGTTTATTGCCACTAGATAAACGTTGTCCAATAAAATATCCGTGTAGTTTCGATTAGTTCTACTTATATTTTGAATAGCAGTAACATTTCACTATGACTCAATCCTGCAGCTTTTTCATTTAGTCAACAATTAGAAACCTGATGCTTGTGTATTGATCACCAATGTGACCTTTTATTGGCCTTACATATCCTCCCATTCATACGGTATTTCATAATTATGTGTGAAGAACATTTTACGATAAAATGCCATTTAATCCTTGCAAATTATCAGAATAATAAAAGCTATTTTAGTAAGAACTTTTGCTAAGCACAACCAATAAAATTATGTACCAAAGCCTCCAACCGCTGGAAATTCTTTCATCGCTGCAAACGCTTGCTAGCTGGACCCGTCCCCGACTCTTGCAGGGCGGCTTGGATGCTCCTATTGGCCAATCTATCACCCTTATGTAGAGGCCACGTTTTATTGGGCAGAAGAAAACACGGATTCTTTTAGTCATCGCTGATTGGTCGGCGTTAGCGTCATTCATGCGCTACGCCGTTGCGTTGTCGGAACGTCTGACGAGCCCGACGGTCTCAGGAAGCAGCGGAGCTTATTTCATATTTTGTAGCCATAAAAGACCGAGGGGAACAGTGTATTTTTAGGGGGTCGGTTGCCACATGTACAGACAGTAAAATATTTTCAAATTATTTCGGCGTGGGGTATTTTTGCCGTCAGAGGTCTTTTGTTATGATTTGGGGTCAATAGCGGTGATGTTTACTGTGCAGCCTCTAAGGTTCCTCTAAGGGGTAGCCTATAACCAGAGCCTCTAGCTTCCAACTGCCTAAAAAATTAGGCAGAAACGATATAAGACTTTTCATTTCTTCATTTGGGTCGTGGCCTGGCGGCACGCCAATAATTGACTCTGGAGCAGGACACGGAGGTAAGTGAAAAAGATTTATTGAAAAAAAAAACGCTGTCCATTTTTTATCCTGTCCGAATTGAATTTATTAATATAGTTGAACCTGCCACACAGACAGGCAAAGGGAATGTAGCAAATAGGTAGCTCGCACAGTATAGCGTCAAACAAGCTAACTACAAGAAAGAAGCGGTGAATATTCTCCCTAGTGTGAGGCATGCAGCAGTGGCGGACCTATGGTAGCTGAGGTCCGACAGGGTGGCGTCAGTGTAGGTGAGCCGGGAAACATTAGCTAAGGCAAACATGTGCATGTGTACATACCGGTAACTGGTCAATCGCCACATATAAAGGGTGAAAAGCTTAACAGCTGTGCCTTAAAAAATGCGATTTTTGCCATACATTTTGTTCACTTCTAATATGAACTGACTGCTCTCTCTGGTGGATTGGATTTCAGAATGTATTTGAGATAAATGCCCTTTTGTTAATACACCTTGCATACACAACTTGAATACACTTCAAGTTCCTGTTGCCGGGAATCATTTATTGAGTTTTTAACACACACTTGGCTGTTTAGCTTAAAATAAACTAACTGTTCAGGGGAACATATGCTTTCGCAGTTTCTCTGTGCGTAAGCACACATTTGTGTGTTGATTCATGACTGAGTCCTTTCATTCAGGAGGGAAAGGGTTTCCTGTCCACTCACTCGAGTGCTTTAAGGGTGGAGTGTGTGAAACTGAAGAATGTTTCACACAAAACTGAGAAATCAGTGGTTAACGGGTACACTGAGCTACATCTGTCCTGATTCTTCTTTCTATTCAAAGTAAAGTATTTCTCCAGAAACACCTGCAGCAGGCTGGATTTTAAAGTTCAGTTGTGCATCTAGGGTTATAGCTTGCCTGGTTGTATGACACTGGCTTCTTCTCATGCAGATAATCTCAAGCTGATCCACAGATCTCAGAATTCCATTAGGAAATCATTTCTTACTAACTAAAAATCATTCCTGTTGTTAGCCTTGAGGCGACTTTTGTTGTGATTTGGCGCTATATAAATAAAATTGAATTGAATTGAATTGAATTGTTCTGTTGGAGGTTTTTAGTACTTGAAAGTGTGGTCAAACAATCTGGCGGCTGCCAGTAACACTTTATTTTAAGTGTAAGAAGCTATGTATATATTATGTATTACTTGATTTGTGTAAAATGAATAGATGTTGCCATTGCTGGTGACCCAAGAACAGCCTGTGAACAGTTAAGGAAATGAGTCTGTGTTAGCTTGTTTGACAGAAATCTTCATTATTTTCTGATAATTATGGCTGCTTGATAGACTGGAAATCCTCATTAGAACTGGCTAAAAATAATGTTCCTATGGTTGGACGCTTTCATTGGGACCAAATGCTTTACTGGAGCCACTGGTGTATTTCAGTTCTGGTGGGCTGTTTTAGGCTGCATTCTTAAGTTTCTAAATAGCAAGCCCGAGTTGGTAATGCCTTCCTTATAAGTGCCTGAGTTGCGCAGCCGTGTTTGTTTAGCTGTGGGGTGGATCTGGTTATCTTCAAGCCAACTGAATCCCCTTTAGGCAGAGCTAAGGGCTGGCTGGCTCAGTTATGACGTAACAGTTTAAATGATGCCTCTTTTTCCACCTTGTTTGGAAAACCAGGAAAAAAAACTCCATGAGGGGAAATTCTGAGTCTCTTTTCACATATTACGAAAAGCACATCATTCCACTCATTTCCTTTCTATGTGGATAATCCAGGTTATCCAGTTTAGGTTGTGAACATTTATTCCTCTAAGATGGATAAAAAATAACAGCGCAATCAAACTAAATGAAAGAACTGAATATACCATTTGACTGTCATCAAGATAATTTAAACCTAACACCATGTTATCCTGGATTAGTTCTGCTCTATTCCAATAGCATGCAGGCTCTAACTAATATTGGTGCTTTTTCTGTCAGCACAATAGTCATGACACCATGATATTCTCAGCCAAGAACAAATTAAGAATGCACAATCTTTATTTTAAGCATAATAAGCATAATAATAATAATAATAATAATAATAATAATAATAATAATAATAATAATAATTTTTATTGTTATTATTATTATTATTATTATAGTTATTATTATTATTATTATTATTATAGATGAATAGATAGCAAACAAGCTCTTTTGTATAACCCATTTGTGCCACCCCCAAGTGCTTACTTGGGGTTGGTTGTAGCTCAGGTGGTAGAGCAGGTCATCCACTGATCGGAAGGTTGGTGGTTCGATTCCTGGCTTCCCCTAGTCTGCATGCCAAATATCCTTGGGCAAGATACTAACCCAATGCATCCATCGGAGTATGAATGTGTGTGAATGTTAGCTATGAAGCACTTAGAAAGATGTGCTTGTGCGAATGGGTGTGAATGGGTGAATGCACAAGTTGTGTAAAGTGCTTTGAGTGCTCAGATGAGTAGAAAAGCGCTCTATAAGAACCAGTCCATTAATGACTTTAGTCGAACATACAGTGAAACTCCTGCTCCTCGTACACACTGGTGTTTATGTCTTTATGTGTGCAAAAGCAACTGTCTAAAATACATAAAATAATACTATGTTACTTTGTGACAATGAGCACTAAAGAAATGCAGCTGCCTTTCAACTGAGCGCGTCATAGGCGAGCTGCACCTTCACTATTTGAACCGCAGCAAGCAGCGGTCCTCGGTCTGCTCTCTTCTCTCAGCAGTGAACTTGGTCTGCTGGCAAACGAATCAGCTCTCTGTCTGCTTCAGGCTCTGGTTAGAGTGATGCTCCAGCTCAAATCGGTTCTCTCAGGCTGAACAAGGACTGCCCTCACTGATGTCTGTCTGATTGCAGAATGGGAATGAGATGGGAATGACCCAAGATAGCTGGTTAAGAGTGACCATTAGCTGTGCATATTGAAGCTCTGTATATGGCTCTCTATTTCATTGAGCCCTAAATACTTATCCTGTGAACACTTTATGGGAGACTTCAGGATAGATGTCTGCACGGCAGTAGTCATGACCCATGTTGTCTCCTTTAAAAAAATATGCAAACATATAATTTATATAAAATACACAACTCAAGGCCACATAACTTTGGAGGAGGGGTGGGGGCAAACTCTTCTATATTTCAAAATGTATTTCAAAATAATGAAATGGAGAGACTGCATAGTAGAAAGTGGTATACATACAAGCCCACAGCAAATGAGCAACAGCTTCTGCTGGGTTAATGCAACACCACTTGAACAAACCACCTGCAGACATGAAATACTACACCAGCTCATAATATTACTGGTAATTTGTTTACTTATTACTTATGGTTATAAATCTGTTGATTATTTAAGGCAGTGGTGCATAGTTGTAGTGTGGCAATTTTTTTTTGATTTCACAATATTTGGATGGACATTTTGACTACATGCAGAGGATGTGACCCCGTCCCTGTTTATGCATTTAAACGATAGCTCCGTGATAACCTACACTTAGCTAATACGGTATCCTTTTTCTCCAGAGTGCTCTTATCGTGTCAATAAAGTCGTCTAATGGTGGGGATAGGGAGGTATATGTCTATAATTCATGCACTTTCTTTTAAGTCCAGTCTTATTAAGTAAGGCCCAGCCATTAGCCGGCGCCTAATCATCAGTCAAAATCATAAATCTAGTCAGTAACTGAAATATTAGCTGCAGTCACACAAACTTGTGTCCCAGAGTGAGTGACCTCTAATGTAGTAGTTTCTAGTAGTTGCTGAGGTGGTGTGGTATCCACTTCTTTATGAAGAAAAGTGTGCTTGCAGGTAGAGTACACAGAGGTCCAGTCATAGCTGATGGAAACCTTAAAAAAGTTGCACCACATCTTGCCCACGTGAATGCACAAGTGTACGTGTGCTTGTTCAGGGTTGCTGTTTTATTGGTAGGCTGAGCTCCCAGCGTGTGCTGTGGTGCAGGTACATCAGCACAGACCTCGCTAACGCAGAAGCCATTGTTTGCTACCGGTCCAGTTTTCCTCCCAGTTTACAGCAGTGATTCAGGATTTTTCTCAGAAGTCAGGAAATGTCTTGTTGTTGTGGGATCGCGGGGCCATAACGGGAAAAAGACCAGTGACTAGACGAAACACGGGTCCTATCTTTTGCCTGCAGGGCTGTTTTATCTCCTTGTGAGCTAATCAAGCCCATTCATACCTTTTCTGATAGCGAACTGCTGAAATGTTTTGATGATATACACGACCCCCCTTCTTCTTCTTCTTCCTTCCTTCCTTTGTTACATAATATGTTCAGTCTGTTGTTTTTGTGTTTGTTTTTTTTATATTCTATGAATTTTGCTGGGGGAAAATCAAACTTCTTTCTTCTTTTTTCCTTTCTTGTGCTCTTTAGCATGATCATTTGTCTCTGATTATGTTTAAACTACTAGTGGCCTCAGCCTCACGTGCATGTATGTTTCTTTTGCTGCCTGAGCTTTTCATTCTACCCACATGAGGGCTTTGTAGAGAAAATTCTTCCCAAGTAGTTGAATGTTTTCAAGCTCTTTCATCTGGACTTAAGGCTACACTGCTCAGGATCTGTTCCAGAGCTGAACCCTTGGTATGAACGCACATTGTCACTTTTACAACACGCACGGGTTTGAAACAGTGAAGCCAGTGTTGGTAACACCTGCTTTTTCTATAAAGTGTGCTGTTGCTGCAGTTACACTAATAAACTGCTTTGGCTGATAAAGTGGACAATATGAGCTAATTACCAGTAATATTACACTGGTATCTATGGCACATGACACATGGCAAGAACGGCTGAAATGACTTAATTCAAGGATGTCAAACTCTTTTTAGTTCGTGGGCCACGTACAGCCTTCTTTGATTTTAAATGGGCTGGACCACACTCTACTGTCTGCCAGTGTAAACTACACATTTAATCCCTGAGACATTATAATTTAAGAAAAAGAAGTCAAGTTTAAATAGTGTTTCTATAATGAAAAACTTTTTTTTTGTCTATTACTTAATTACTCTGGTGTAGTATGAATGGCCATGGGAGAGGTCTTTATCAGCAGGAAAAGCTGTAAAACTAAAAAATACAGTTAAACGTACAAAACTTATGTCCACCTTCACATTTTATATGAATATATGTTATTTATGTGTTATTTAAACCTCTAAGACTCTGACTCCAATCCGGACCAGTGGATGATATGGAGTCAGAGTTTCGGAGGTTTAAATAATATATCCTCTTTGAAGTAGTGGCTAAACAATACTAGATTTGATGTTGAGAAATCCTTCCTACATTCTTAAATTTTAAAGTTTGAGCAACATGCCATAAAGGTAACTCTGTCACAGGCAGCATATTAGCAGATGATATATGAGTTGGGAAAGCTTGGTAGATACTCACTGTCACAGTATTAGATATGAAAAAGCAGCCTGAGGCATCACTAACATGTGCAAACAGCACAGGCTGTATCAAACAGAATCATGTGCTTCTGCAGTTGTTAGCCCGGCAACGACTGTAAACACTTTTGTGAGTTTCACGTAGTTGCTGGTAGGGAGCAACAGCAGTGGCTGCAGTGACTCAATACATGCTTGCAAAAGTATGGGTCCAGTTTACTGTTGGGAGCACATTGAGCACTTGTGAACATGTTTGTGTGTAAAACTTTAAATTCAAGAAATGTATTTGCCGCAAGCTTCCATGTCCATTACTTTAAAAAAGCACAGCCTTTTGAAAACGCCTCTTTGATACACCCTGTTTTCTGGAATTAAAATTACCATTGGAAAAATTATGCTGGCCACTGGTTACACAATAAAATACAGTATTGAACAATCTGCTTAGTTACCAATCATGGCGACAACACCTGACTCAGAAACATCATCCAGTCAGCTGCGGTGCTGCAGACAGGGATGAGGCTGTAGTGAACCAGTGAGTCGGAGCTGCTGTTCACAGACAGGGCTGTTTATTTTGGCGCATATGTGATAACACTTATGTGGATAGAAAGAATAAACTATAAATACTGGCTGACTGATGGAACGGTCTGGCTCTATTTTGACATTAGACCTTTTTTGTTTGCTCTAAAGCAGACACTTGGCACACCAGGAATAATGTTACTGTCATCCTTCTACATGTATTTATGTAGTGTAGTACTTTTATGGTAAGTCTGCTGTGACAGTCGTGGTGGTGTGCAATCCCTCTCCAGTTCATAGAGTATGTGTAATCGTACCTCAGATACAGGTGTGTCCACGCCCTCGTCGTTACCTGAGCGCTGCAGTATTTGTGGTGGAAACACTGTCATGGCCGTATATATAGAATACAGCACAGTTTGCAAACAGGATGGGCAGAGTGTAGCTTTTATAATCTGCTTATATTCTTTTCTATGAGAGTTACTTCACAAGCTGAATGCATGGAATGAAGACTTGCAAGGTCAAATTTTAGCAGAGGACCGAATCAACAGGCGTAAGAAAATAAACGGAGCATATTATATTGTTGTATTTGACTGTGTGGAAGCATAAAATTAGTTTAGAAAGCAGTCAGAGTGACAGTTTCAAAGGAAATTCCTTTGGACTCCTTTGTTTCTGTTATCTGTTATAGTTTATTGATTTATGTTAAAATTGAAAGGAAAAGAAAACACAGACAAAGAATTTCTGGGTGTGGTCTGTATCCTGGTGATATTTTAAACCTTCCCTGAGGTTACCTGCTGTCAGTCGAGCTCCTACCTGGCAGTGGGGAGAAAACTTTCGCGGCGCTCTGATTATGGAGTTTGCACATGTCTGTCTATATCTTTGGAAACGTTAGTGTGGAGTGGATAGTACAGATACTTCCTGCACATCAGCAGACCGATGTGCACAATCTGATCTTTGTTCTTTTATTGTTTCCGTTGTCTTGCAGGATAGTATGGCCATGACGGGAGGGACTGCAGCTGCCCTTCCCATGAGCAACCACACCCGAGAGAGGGTGACAGTGGCCAAGCTGACACTGGAAAATTTCTACAGCACTCTGCTCACCCAGCACGAAGAGCGTGAGATGAGGTACTGCATAGAACTTTTTATTCCTTTACTAACTGAGCATAATACCATTTAAATGCTTAGGTTATGCACGCATCAAGTGTCCCTCCGACTAACCACTGAAAAAGCTAACAATGCAGACACGTTTCATCCTAGGTGTGAACACAACACAGGGAATCTGACCACTTCTGTTCTCACGTTACCTGAGAGCCGATCTTTTGTCCAGGCGTCACAGTTCAGTGGCTCCTGTAAAAGAAGGCTGGTTCCCTGTTTACACCCCTGCATAAACTGTGAGGGGGATTCATTTTCAAGATTTGACACGTCCGAGGTCATCGAGTCTCTTCCTGTTTTTGTTTTTTGTTTTTTTTTCCCCCCCTTTTTTCATTTTCCCTCTCCACTCTAATTTGTGTATCATGAGGAAGCTTGTGTGTTATTTGCATTTTTTTTTAAAGGAATCTATTGTTTTTATTCATAGGCAGAAAAAACTGGAGAAGGCCATGGAAGAGGAAGGTTTACCAGATGAGGAGGTACAGTACGCTTTGTACTTTAGTTACATAATTCCTACTTTTCTCTTTTCGTTCTTAGACTTATTCACAAATCTGTGTTTTCTTTACAGAAAGTAATGCGGCGCTCTCAGCATGCCCGAAAGGAGACAGAGTTTTTACGACTGAAGAGGACACGACTCGGTTTGGATGACTTTGAGTCCCTGAAGGTCATTGGACGAGGTGCTTTTGGAGAGGTACATTGAAACAAAAAACAAAACTCGAGCCTCCAGGATTGTGGGACTGTAACCAAAAAGGTATCTCTTTGTGATTTTGACTGATGCTGTGTCCCTCAGGTGCGTTTGGTACAGAAGAAAGACACAGGCCACATTTATGCCATGAAGATTTTGAGGAAAGCAGACATGCTGGAGAAAGAACAGGTAATGCGTTTGCCTGCGTCACAGTTCTCCAGGATTATAAGGCATACTTGTTCTGCTGCATTCAGGATCCTGTATCTGCGCTCCCCCCGTAGGTCGCTCACATCCGGGCAGAGAGGGATATTCTGGTCGAGGCGGATGGTGCCTGGGTGGTCAAGATGTTCTACAGCTTCCAGGACAAGAGAAACCTCTACCTCATTATGGAGTTCCTGCCTGGAGGTTAGTACTGGGAAAATCCACAGACCATCTCAGGTCACCTGATGTTAGGATCTCAGATCTAAAAGGACCTTTTTGCCAGGTGACATGATGACACTGCTGATGAAGAAGGACACTCTGTCTGAAGAGGCCACTCAGTTCTACATCGCAGAGACAGTACTGGCCATTGACTCCATCCACCAGCTGGGATTCATCCACAGAGACATCAAACCGGACAACCTGCTGCTGGACTCCAGAGTGAGAACAGAAACACAAAAGCACAAGCAGATTCACAGAGACGTTTCCAGATTTCTGATATCATAATCTGTAAGATGCAGATTCCTTAATTAAATGTTCATTTGCTCACAGGGACATGTGAAACTGTCAGATTTTGGCCTGTGTACTGGGCTGAAGAAAGCTCATCGCACAGAATTTTACAGGAACCTGACGCACAACCCGCCCAGTGATTTCTGTGAGTCACGAACATGACATCCTCAACAAAATAACATAATAATTCTGGCAAAACTATTAGAAACAAAACTTTTCATGTAATTATTTTAATGGTTGTTTTTCTTTATTTCTCAGCCTTTCAAAATATGAACTCCAAGAGGAAAGCAGAGACCTGGAAGAAGAACCGGAGACAGCTGGTATAATTTTGGCATTTTACTAGACAAATTATAAGAGAGAGGAATGGCACTCCTGAATTGAAGTCAGAAAATTGACTGATTGTGTCAAAAAATCTTATTATTATTAAAAATTCTATAAAAGCAGAAGTTTTGGCAGCTTGTTTGCTTGTAGGATGGTGAAAACCAGGCACAGCATATCAGCACAAACATCACACGCCAACTGTCATGAATGTTAAAGGAGGTGTGATGTGCAGCCACAGTACCTGCACACCTTGCAGTCAATGAGTGGGACTTGAACTCCTTCGTATACCAGAGTGGAGTCAAAGTTTGAGCTAACTGGGTCATACAACAGGATGATGATCCCAAAGGAAAAGAATCAAGGTGTTGCAGTGGCTCAGTCAAAGTCCAGACCTCAGCCTGATTGAAATGCTGTGATGGGATCTAAATAGAGCTGCACATAAATGAACAGAAGCAATGTTATAAAGAGTCAGACAAAATTCCCCTACAACAATGTTAGCGACTGATGAAGTCATACTGAAAATGAGTACTTCAACTTTTTGGAGCTAAAGTTGGCTGTTGAATCACAGGGATGTGAAAACGTTTTTTTTCACATGACTGTAAATGAGAAGCTTTCAAAGAAAAGAGTAGGTGTACTACAGACAGCAGAATAATAAAGAAAGCATCTCCCTGTAACAGTAAACTTGATGTTATTGTTTCTACGTTTCAAAGTAAAAACCTTCACCTCTCATCTGGTGTGACTTTCAGGCTTATTCCACTGTGGGAACGCCAGACTACATCGCTCCTGAAGTGTTCATGCAGACGGGGTACAACAAACTGTGCGACTGGTGGTCTCTGGGTGTGATCATGTATGAGATGCTCATCGGTAAGCATGACACACGCAGAGGGCACCAATATAGGACGATTTGAAGAATTGCATTTACACAAATACAATTTTTATGGGCGTTTATGTAAATTGATAGCCTACAATGTTATTATCAAACATCTGCTGTCAATGGCAAAAATGCAGTATATGGAACTTTGTGAGCAGGATTTCCTGAACTTACAGAAAGTACTGGAACCTGAGCAGGAACTTTTTGTGGGAAAAAAATAATTTCCCTGAAACTTTATTTAGATCCAGGTCCCTGTGATGGAAATGTAGTGATTCTCGTAAGTTTCTGGTTCCTTGAAAAAGTTCCTGCTGTGAAAAATAGCCACTGTTGGGTTAATATTTCAAAGACTCTTTCATGCTTTGCAACTTTTAAATGGATGTAAATAAAAGAAAAACTGAAGTACCCACAGGTTCTTGCCAGACAATCATTAACTCGGCCGGATTATCCTGTCAGAAGAGTCAGTAATATCAACTGCTCTGCCACAGATGTTATAACATACTTGTTGGTTCTTTATCAGGTTATCCGCCCTTCTGCTCAGAGACACCACAGGAGACGTACAGGAAGGTTATGAACTGGAAGGAAACACTTGTCTTCCCACCTGAAGTTCCCATCTCAGAGAGAGCCAAAGACTTGATATTAAGGTATAAACTGTATGTTTGGCTAGACTGAGCCTTTATTCTCAGAGGAGAAACTACAGCTTGAGCTGCTTTTCTTTCCCTTCATTTCACTGTAGTCGATCTGGCTAACTGTGATGATAATTAGAAGCTAACAAATGCGTGATTTCTGTCATTGAAGCTTCAACACTTTTTTTGGGGTCATTTTCCTGCCTGTGTGTTTTAGATATTCAGAAAAAAATTAAAATTTTACACAAACTTGCAGCACAAAGAACAACTTTGGTTCTCGTGATGATGACTCTGATGGAAGCTACAAGCCAACATGTGTGGGTTAAGCAGTAACATTGTTCCTTATTCTGCAAGTACTACTGGGGATGTAACCTCTTCAGATCTCTTCCTCGTGAAGCTTGGAAGCAGGTGAAGTTATGCCAAGAAAACCTCTGCTGTGTTTTAGGTTTTGCACAGATGCAGAGAACCGGATCGGAGCTGTGAGCGTGGACGAGATCAAGAGCCACCAGTTTTTTGAGTCGGTCGATTGGGAGCACATCAGGTACAAAAGAGCATATCTGCTGCTTATGAATGCAGTCCCCTCGGGAAAGTGAAAAACGCAACGCATCTTATTTCTATTGATGATTCTCTACAGGGAGCGGCCAGCCGCCATCTCCATAGAAATCAAAAGTATTGACGACACCTCTAACTTTGATGACTTCCCTGAATCGGACATCCTTCAGCCAGGTTTGTTTTCCGAAAGCTTTTCTGTCGCCGCTAGAGGAAAATCCTGATTAGGAACACTAACTAGCCTTTCGTCAGATTCAGACATAGCATGACAAACCACAGAT